AACGACTATTCAGTCGCAGCTTTAAAACATCCATCTAAAGACGACAGAAACTAAAATAGAAAAACATGGCGGCTGACTTTAATGGAGAAGTTAGAAGAGCTGGACCAGGTTCTGAACCCGGTTCAGGTTCTGACTCCTCTAGGACTGCAGGATGAGTAAAACTGGAGGTAAACCATCCACACTGATCAGATGTTTCCTTCTGTGTTGGTCTGAAGATCAGATCCTGTCTGGCAGCAGAGATCCAGGCTGGTTCTGTGAAGACCTGGTCCCAGCAGGACCTTCAGGAGATCAGAGACGCTCAGAGAAAACGGATCAGAACCCAGCTGGACCTGCAGGTTAGATGGTCCTCTGCTCTGTGAACGGATCTTCAGCAGGTTCCTGAACAGGTTTGATGGAGAAACTAGAGGCAGAAGCTGAAGGTCAGCTGCTCCTTCCATCCATTTCTGCTCCGTTCCTCAAGCAGAACCTGAGTGGTCTGCCTCCTGAGGAGCCAACAGTTGACTGGGCCGGTGGATCCTCATGGGTCGGTTCTAGTTAAGCTTTCTGAAGCATCTTCAGAACTTAAGATCTTAATCTGAGTCCTTCTATGTCTCTAAACCATCTCCATCAGCCTGTAATTCTTCTGTTTTCCAGAAGTTTCTATTGAAGTTGGTTCCTCCTAAACTCTGAGGTTCCTGCTTCACCTGGACCGGACCTGGATGTTCAAGCGGAACCGGTGAGGGACTGACCTGAATGTTCCTGATGAAGGACACGGTGACGCGCTCCTCAAACTCATTCAGCGGCGTGTAGAGGTTCAGGATCTTCACGATCTGCAAAAGTCAAACAGGAAGAGATGAGAAAATCTGCTTCTGGGTTCAGGTTCTACAGACGGTTCCGTTCAGGGCTGAAAAACTTTGTTACTACTGAGAAAAACTGGACCCTTTGTGTTTCTTTAGGACTAAATCAGATTTTTTTTTCCTTCTCCTCCATAATGGCTCCGCCCCTTTCTGGCTCCGCCCCTTTCTGCCTCTCTGACAACGTAAGCATCTGAACTGTGTCGTCCCACTGGAAACCAGAAGGTTCTGCCTTATGCTGGATCCAAGCAGTTATTTCAGTTTAAGTTTGGATGTAAAATAAACATTAGGTTCTGCTGAAGACCTGCAGAGGAAACTGACCCAAACGGTCCGGTTCTGTCCTTCTCTTCAGGTTCATAAAGAACCCAAACCTTCAGAAGTTCAGGATCTGACCTTAATTAAAGGTTTTACTTTAATAGAATCAGCTGAGGCCAGAGTGTGGAGCTGTCCATGGTTCTGTTCTTAGTCCAATTTTTATTTTTTATCTTATTTTAACTCAGATTAAATCTGCTTTATTCAGCCGTTCAGTCCAGTTCTGATAAAAAGACAAAGAGACAAAAAAAGAAAACTATTTTATGTTTCATGTTTTCCTATTTCACTTCAGTTATTTTCATAATTTTATTTTTTGTTATCATTTGCTTCTGGCACTTTACCCTTATAGTATGTTCTATAGTCTGCTCTGATGCATGCTGGGTAAAGAGGGAGGGGCCAGAACAACATCCGGGGACTTCATTCTCGGTCTTCTGTTCTTGTGAATTGGAACAGTTCTAGGGATGAGGTTGATGACGTTTCACGAGGATATGAGAACGCACAAGTAAATGATTTAGCCTTTTTTTACTTTCCTATTACGTGCATTTGAATTTTAATTACATTATTTTGAGGCCTAATCAACACAAGTTCATGGAAGTTACGTTGTCANATTTGAATTTTAATTACATTATTTTGAGGCCTAATCAACACAAGTTCATGGAAGTTACGTTGTCATGGCGATGTCCAGAAAGCTGGGGTGTGGCATCACGCTCCCGGCAGCAGACTAGTAAATGAATAGGGCTGGATATTTTCGCTAAAGTCCTGAATTGATTCGATTTTGATTAATAAAGTTCTAAATCGATTAATTTCGATTCAATCTGTTTTTACAATAATTAAAGTGGTTCAACTGTGTTTCAAAATACTCATCTTTTAATTTTTCCTCCCACATTAAACACAAAGTGCAAACTTGTAAATCAGACAGTTTAAACCTCAGATGTGACCAAAACTGTCTCATAAGTGCAAACTTGTTTGAGAAAAGTGAAAAAGTGAAGCCTCACTCGAGCAAGCGGACGTGACACAGCAGATATGCATGAGCTGCATTATCTTCACTGCAAAAACCATATTTGCAGCGTTTTCTGTAACAACTGCAGGGTGTAGTTTACTGAAAACATGTCTTCAGTCAACCTATTGGCTATATTTGCAGCCGTCTGGCTTGAGGTAAGCTTGGGTGAATCTTTCCTGTTCATTTGAATGTGAACGTCACGCGCGTCACTATAAAATGAATCAATCTCATTCCCTGGACATCGATTTTGCAAAAACGTAAAGGAATCGATTCAAAATCGATTAAATCGATTTTTTTTACCCAGCCCTGTAAATGAACATAGTCTTATGACAGAAACCAGGAGGAAATATGGAACAGAAACACATCTAGATTCATCCACTAATGAGAGACTTTATCTCCACGACCTCAGAGCTCACCTGAACATTTGGACACCTGTAACCATGCAGGGCGCCCGGCCTGTAGCTCAAAGTTAGAGCATGGTGCCGCCGCGTACTTTCATATCGAATCGTGCAGTTTAAGGTAACCGTAGTATTTTAGATTGTTATTTTGATCTTAGGTTCTCTGTGTAATGGAGAACTGTTCACTAACATTTAAATGGCATAATAATATCATTATTTCCTTGTGGTTTGTGTAAAAGGATTTCGGAGCTAATAGAGTCACGTGTGACAATAACAAAGTGACTAAGGTTGATGCCATCTAACCAAATCTATGTTGTTATAGTGTGATTGTGAAGTTTAAATAATAGTGCTTATTTTCACCTCAGAACTGATGCTGTCTGTGTTACTATGGAGGATAAAAAGTGCCAAAATTAAATAAATAAATACAGCAATAAACAATTAACTAAATGTGTAATTTATTAAATAAATAAGGAATTAAATATATAAATGTGTCATTCATTCATTAAAACCACGTCACTAATATAAAGTGCCACAATTAAATAAATAAATACAGCGATAAACAATTAATTAAATGTGTAATTCATTAAATAAATAAGGAATTAAATATATAAATGTGTCATTAATTTAATAAAATACGTAATTTTATTAAAAAATTATATATAATTATTTCGATGCACTGCGACACAGGACCATGAAATAATTAAATGCACTCTGAAATAATTATATATATAATTTTTTAATACAATGAAGACGTATTTTATTAAATTAATGACACATTTATATATTTAATTCCTTATTTATTTAATAAATTACACACAATTACACATTGTTTATCGCTGTATTTATTTATTTAATTGTGGCACTTTATATTAGTGACGTGGTTTAAATTAATGAATGACACATTTATTTATTTAATTCCACATTGAATTAATTATTGACACATTTAATTATTTATTTAATGCTGTATTTATTTGTTTAATTTTGGCACTTTTTATCCTCCATATATTACAGACCCGCTCTATTTACTTATTGAGTTGTATTTTAAATAGGCTTATAGGCTCATGGGTCTTCTGTCCAGTTTCTACAGTACTTCCAGCAGCTCTGCACGTTGTGATGCGTACTGACCTGTTGCACGGTGAGCGCGGTGCACAGCGAGCAGATGGCCTCAGCGTCCTGGGAAGTCTTCTTCTTGACCTGCAGCAGCTGAGCCGCCTGGATGATGGGCTCCAGCGTGGCAGAAGCTTTGCTCTGGAACAGGTTGTTCGCTCGCAGCCACTCCTCCAGCTGACTGGTGTTATACCTGCGCACACAGACAGGGGGCAGCAGTCAGACGCAGTCAGTGTTCCACCAGTTGGACCAGAACCTCCAGGGTTTGTCCATCCAACCTAAACCCTGGGAGCTCTGTGAATGTCTCATCATGAACAGGTTCTGCTTCTAAAGGATCCAGACGGGTCAGAGCTACAGAGCGGCTCCGGTCCGGTACCTGAGCTGCATGCCGGCGCTCCAGGAGCAGACGTCTTTGCGCAGCAGCAGGTTGTTGAGCGTGACGGCGTTGATGCAGTGGAAGAGCTGCCGGAACACCTGGCCCACGATCTCCGGGTCCAGACCCTGGTCCCTCATGATGCTGTTGAACTGGCTGAGCTGCCGGATCAGACCCTGCAGGGTGTAGGTGGTCGGCCCGTCCGCGTCCGTGTCCATGCTGGACGAGCGGTTCCGGTAGCCCATGGGCTTCACTCCTGCCAGGCTGGGGATGCTCTCGCTCTCCAACATGGCCGACACTAAGAGACATGGGGGGGCGGGGTTAGTTTGAACCTTTAGATACAGAAAGAGTTCTGTCTGTTAAACTCTGAGTGCAAAACCGATCACATGGGTTCAGATAGAAAACAAACTGAAAACAAAAGGACCGACGCTAAACTGGACGCTAAACTGGACGCTAAACTGGACTCCTGATGCTACGTTCACATCAAACACGACTTCAGCAGCAAAGAAGCTTCTGCTGCTTCATTTCTGATCCACATTAAGATCAGACGTCCAGCAAAGTGAGTCCAGATATTTCTGCTGCTCCTGTGTTCGATGCCAGAGAGCAGCTTTGCTATATTAGCTGTGATCAGCGGCTAGAAAGTAGTTAGAATCTATGTTGAAGTGAGAAAGTCCTCCTGAAAACATGGTCTGTGCAGTCAGTTCATCCAGATTA